GTGATGGGACCAGATGCCATGATCTTAGTTTTCTGAATGTTGAGCTTTAAGCCAACTTTTTCACTCTCCTCTTTCACTTTCATCAAGAGGCTTTTTAGTTCCTCTTCACTTTCTGCCATAAGGGTGGTGTTATCTGCTTACCTGAGGTTATTGATATTATTCCCAGCAATCTTAATTTCAGCTTGGGCTTCTTCCAGCCCAGCATTTCTCATGATGTACTCCGCATATAAGTTAAACAAGCAGGGTGACAATATATAGCCTTGACATACTCCTTTTCCCATTTGGAAACAGTCTGTTGTTCCATGTCCAGTTCTAACCATAAAAACAATTTATGGATATTAAAATATTTATGATCGCCTTTTATGAAAGGCAGGTGTTCACAATGCCAACAATCTCTACGTGTTTGAATGGCAATTGAATTGACAAAGCTACTTTTAAATTGCCCCTAAAATGCCCAATGTATTGTTGACAGTGTTGTTTGATCTTTAGTTAAAGACCACCTCTCCCCAAAAGTTATGATCTGCTTCCTGAACTATAAGCTTTAAGATTCTCTAATTCATAAATCAATGAACGTATACTGTGTTGACTGTGTTTGCAGTCAGCTTTTCTATTTGGTCATGACTTTTATGAATGCTTTTGACCTATTCTTGGAAATGGCAACCACTCCAGTATTCTTGCCTGGAAAATCCCATGGATGGAGGAGCCTGGCAGGCTACAGTCCATGGGGTTACAAAGAGTCAGACATGGCTGAGCGACTTCAGTTTCACTTTCACACACGGGTTGGGGGGGTGGGGAAATCAAATGAACCAGTAAACATTTATATAGAACAAATTTTTTATCTTGTTTCTAATAACATCAACTGCAAAGCATACCTATTGGAGGAGAAAAGGTCCCCAGAGAAAATGGCCAGTCCAGCCTCGTATAGCACGGCAGCTGTGACAGATGCCCCCCCACAACTTCTGAGTTCGCTCAGTGTTCCCCACCCCCCACCCTGTCAGCCCTGCTAGGTCAGGGGTCACGTCTGCCCCCCACAGGCCCTGGCGGGGCACGGGCATTGCTGACTCTCTCCCAGAACGTCCTAGCCTCAGTGTGTGCTAGGACAGGTTGGCCCACTGCGACCAGAGCCAGGCCTAGAACAAAGCAAGGGTTTCTCTCAACCACCCAGGTGTCCTGCTTCTTAGAACTCGGAGGAAAGGAGTGAGCTACGTTGGCTTGGTGAGCATAGAATAAGAAAAGAAGGGGAAGAAAATAGAAACTCATGTTAATGACCTAAAAATCCTGTCACACCGTGTAATATAGGGAACTGTATTCAGTATTGTGAAATAACCTACAAGGAGAAAATACCTGAAAAAGAATGTGTCTGTGTGAGTATGCTGCTACATGCTAAGTCACTTCAGTTGTGTCCAATTCTTTGTGACCCCATGGACTGTAGCTTGCCAGGTTCCTCTGTCCTTGGGATTTCCCAGGCAAGAATACTGGAGTGGGTTGTCATGTCCTTCTCCATTATATATATATAAAATGGTATTAGTTGCTTAGTCATATCTGACTCTTTATTACCTCTTGGACTGTAGCCCACCAGACTCCTCTGCCCATGGGATTTCCCAGGCAAGAATATTGGAGTGGGTTGCTGTTTTCTCCTCTAGGGGATCTTCCTGACCCAGGAATCAAACCCACCTCTCCTGCATTGCAGGCAGATTCTTTACCATCTGAGCCACCAGGGATATGGCTGGGCTGTACACCTGAAACTTAGATGACATTATAAATTGACTATATTTCAATTAAAAATTGTTTAAAAAGAAGGAAAAACAATTCTGTTTAAAATGAAACTTACATGGTAGTATCAGTGAACGTAAGGATTGTTATGCAGATGAACATTCCAAGCCCTCCTCTAAAGCTGTCTGATACCCACCAGGGAAAAACCCTCATTTGGAAGCTTTAAGTGGTCACCAGGCTTCCCTGGCAGCTCAGATAGTAAAGCGTCTGCCTGCAATGCGGGAGACCCAGGTTCAATCCCTGGGTTGGGAAGATCCCCTGGAGAAGGAAATGGCAACCCACTCCAGTACTCTTGCCTGGGGAATTCCACGTGCGGAGGAGCCTGGTGGGCTACAGCCCATGGGGTCGCGAAGAGTTGGATACAACTGAGTGACTTCCCTTTCTTGCTTTCTTTCTTTCCTTCTTTCTTTCTTTCTATTTTTCTTTCAAGTGATCACCCAGCAGGCAGGTCCTTTGGAGAGAGGAGAAGAGAGGAAGATTTGAATGGTGGGGGTAGGGGATGTTGGGCTGACTTTCCCGTTCCTGAAAGAAGGTTCCTGTCTCCATAGAAACAGCAGCAGTCCTGCAGCATCATCATCAGCCTGAAGCAGAGCCAACAGCAGGAGTTGAAGCGGATCCTCAACCCGCCCAGCATCGAGACCACGCAGCCCAGCGAGGACCTGAAGACCAATAGTCAGGACAACAGCGTGCAACCCGAGGTATGGGCAGGGGGCGTCTGTCACCCATGAATGTTCACAGAACAGGAGCTGGTGCCATTCACATAGACATTTCACACAAGTGATGCTACTTCTAATAGGCAGTTAAGTTGATTTAAAAAGAAAAAATGACTGCAACATATTGATCCAGTTTATGTTTGTGTCCTTGTCATCCCTGAATTTGTGGAACATATTTCAAAAGATTCTGATTTATATGGATACAAAAAAAAAAAAAAAGAATGCTCTAAACTTAATAATCCTGTTGATATTTGTCTAAAGAGTTAATATCACGTCTGTAAGGGTTTGAGTCCAGCCATAGCCCGTGACTTAGGAGAATACGGTTTGCCTGAAGTTCTGCCCTCAATATTTTCTCTTCCTCACCAAGTCCTAGAAACTTGCAGTCAAGTGAGCAAAAGGTTTGCAGTTGGCCTTCAGCCTCCTTAAACAGGCTCATCGAGGATTAGTCCTCCTTTGGTTGGGCATCAGAAGAGCATATGGAAATCAGGGAGGCTTAGCATAAGGACCTTCTGTGTACTGGGGCTCAGCCTAGCTTCATTTCCAGCCTCCATCTGCACATCCATAAAACAGCTCAGCGTCACCAGTCTCCTGGAGAGCGTGTGGGTGAGAAGCAGCTGGCAGGAGGCCCAGGCCTTGTGAGGCTTTCAGTGTGAATCAGGTGGAGCTGGCCCAGCATCCTGATGTGTAGTGACACAGTCGGAGCCGGCGCCAGACACTGCCGCCTGGGGCTCCGTGGCTGAGCAGGACCTTCCAAGGGGCCTCTTGCCCCGCAGCCCTGCTTTGGGTGGATTGTGGATTCACATGTCATTGGCTCTTCCCCACCCCAGCCGGTAGGAGTCGTGGGCCACTGAGACCTGGGCCAGGACGGTCAATATGGGGGACAACATGGGGCATCTGCAGTGGCCCTGCCACAGTCAACACGGGGGACCATGTGGGGCATCTACAGTGGCCCTGCCACCTGTCTGCCCTGAGGGGGGCCAGCAGTAGTCACCTGTGGGGCTGGCGAAGCAGGGAGGTGATGCTGGCTGAGCATTCTGGTTTGGGGTTAAAAAACTCGAAGAGAGCTGAGGACCACAGTGCCGACAGGGAAGGAGGAGATGCTGGTAAGGCAGAGACTGGGTGAGATACGTGGAGGAAATCCGAGCATTTCTCCTTGACCTCAGTCTTAGTTGATTGATGTCTCGTTCTCCTCTGGGGCTCATCCCAGAGTTTCATCTGCTGAGGATTCATCTGGAAGCTCTAGGCGCTGACCCCCAGGTTGGCAAGCATGTGCTGCCCCCAAAGCAGGTCATCCCTGCTACCCCCACTTCTTCCTAGAAGCCCTTCCCTGCTGTCCTGGTGCATGGCGGTGCCCCCAGGAGTAGGGGGCTTGAAGCTGTGGAATGGAGGTATCCAGGAGGGACGCCCAAGGAAAGGGGCCACCTGGAAAGTCAGGCCTTTCATCCTCACCATGTGCAGTGGTGACTTTGTCAAATTTTCCTTGACTCTTTTGCCCATGTTCACTCTTCCAGTCCCCCTGGTGGATACGATGGGTCCATACGGTTTTCCCCACTTGGCTTTCTGGTGGGGCTTTCTTCCTTTCTTAAACTGAAATGAGGGGCCAGGCCAGCGCACAGAGGAGGGTGGAGGAGAGCTCGTGGTGAGGGATAACCGCCTGACTCTCCCCCCACCCCCATCCCTACAGTCGAGCAGCCAGCAGCAACTCCTGAGCCCCACCCTCTCGGACCGGGGAGGGGGTCGCCAGGACGCAGCCGAGGCCGGGAAGCCCCAGCGGAAGTTCGGGCAGTGGCGCCTGCCCTCCGGTATGTACAGCAAGTCCTTTCTCCAGCGACTGGCTCATCTGAAAGTTTGTGGTTCAGTCACTGAGTCATTTCCAACTCTTTGCAACCCCATGGACTGCAGCACACCCGGCTTCCCTGTCCTTCACCATCTCCCGGAGTTTGCTCAAACTCATGTCCATCAAGTCAGTGATGCCATCCAACCATCTCATCCTCTGTTGTCCTCTTCTCCTCCTGCCCTCAGTCTTTCCCAGCATCAGGGTCTGAAGGGTATCAGTCCTCTTTGTGTGTTTGGGGTCTTGAATTTCAGAATTCAGGTCTGCATCTAAAATTATTTATAGCGACTTGGATATATATATATAGTGGCTTGGATATCAAGTTTCATTGTAGGGGGCCTGGGTTCAATCCCTAGTCTGAAAGTAAGATCCCAGAAAGTCATGCAGTGTGGCCAAAAACAAAAAAGCTATATGTAGACAGTGAAGTGATGAAAAATGTACTTCCCTCATCAGAAACATTTTCCTCAAAATGGCTTCTCTAAGCAGAACAATGTCAGCCCTTGTTTTCAGCCAATAGAGAAGGCAGCTCCTATTTTTTTTAATAGTTTTATTTATTTATTTATTAGGCTGAGGTGGGTCTTCCTTGCAGTGCATAAACTTCTCTAGTTGTGGCACATGGGCTTAGTTGTCCCGTGGCCTGTGGGATCTTATTTCCCAGGTCAGGGATCGAACCTTCATCTCCTGCATTGGAAGGCAGATTCTTAACCACTGGACCACCAAGAAAGTCTCAGCAGCCCCTGTTAGCAAAGATATTATACCTACAACATAGAAAGATCGAGAGATTAGCGCCACAGGCTTCTAGTGCACATTCCAGGCATTCCCTAACTTAGGCAACCTGTGTTTACTCTAAGAGGGCGTGGGTGGGTACACGTCACTCAGAAAATGACGTAGGGTTCTCAAAGAAGGAGCAACAAAACCTATTCAGTGCAGTGTAATATGTTTCAGCACTTACTGTACGCCAGTCACTATCCTCACAACCCTATTATTTTCCACATTTTACTGACTCACTGAGAGAGTTTTCTTCTAGAGCAGCATGGAAAACCAGGATAATCCCATTCAGGGCATGCAGAGTGAGAGGGAAAGCAGTGATCTTCCTGGTTCAGTGCTTTCTCTGTGGATAACAGCCCACAGGGAAGTGGGGGCTTCTTACATTTGTCCAATGCCTCTTAACAGCAGAGAGGGAAGTCTTTCCTCCAGTTGTTGTTTAGTTGTTAAATCACGTCCAGCTCTTTGCTACCCCACGGACTGTAGCCCTCCAGGCTCCTCTGTCCTTGGGATTCTCCAGGCAAGAATCCTGGAGTGGGTTGGCAGGCCCTCCTCCAGGAGATCTTCCCCACCCAGGGATTGAACCTGCATCTCTTATGTCTCCTGCATTGGCAGACGGGTTCTTTACCACTAGCGCCACCTGGGAAGCCCCCATTATGAATATGCAGAATCCAGTGCTTGGAAAGGTTTCATATGTGACATCTATGGATAGGACCTGCTCGTGGAAAGCATGACTGCTGAGACCATCAGGGTGTTTCAGGAATAGCTTGCGATGGGGCTGGGGTTGGGGGCCGGGGTTGGGTAACCACACCATGTTGCTCACGGGGCTTTTATTGATTCGACAGCACCAAAACCAATAAGCCACTCCGTGTCTTCGGTCAACTTACGGTTTGGAGGGCGGACCACAATGAAATCTGTCGTGTGCAAAATGAACCCCATGACAGACACCGCTTCCTGTGGTTCCGAGGTTAAGAAGTGGTGGACCCGGCAGCTGACCGTGGAGAGTGATGAAAGCGGAGATGACCTTCTGGACATTTAGGTGGAAACCGATGCAGATGAAAGTCCACTGGCGAAAACTGACTTCTGATGTGTGCTTTCATTGTCCAGTGAGCAATCCATAATTGATGTATAATTTAAGTCCAACTTGTAACAAGATTTTTTAGAACTAATTTCTGGATCCTGCCATGGGAAGGCATAAAACTAGGTCCATCAAAGCTATATTTGTGATGAGTTATTGCCACAAATTCAAGAGAATCAGCATGGTGGCAGTATCCATAATATTAGACACTATACTAATGCCAGATGTAGATCATTCAAAATTTCACATTGTCTATGTAAACTAAGGTATATATTTGTGTATACTCTTATGCATTATTACCACCCCCTGAAAGAGTGCTTAGCCCAAAGTAGCTGATATTTATGGTGCAGGAGGTATAATTTTAGTTTGTGTTTTTCCCACTTCTTCTAGAAATACTTTTCTTGGGAGAATTTATTATTTATGATTGATCTGCAAAGGTCAGCACCAAGCTCATGCTAAAATGATAGTAGTTTTACAAACTACAGATTCTGAATTTTAAAAAGTCTGTTCTTTTTCTTACATTATTATTTAAAATCTACACAAGCTATTTAGAGATCAGAAGAAGTCGGTGTCTGTTCCTGGTCACTCAGTGGAACTGTGGCCTGCTCCCAGGAGAACTCCGTGTGTAGGTAGCAAGCAAAGAATTGGCTTGAGGAGCTGACTGGTTTAAAACAAAGCTGTACATAGATCCCTCAGGGGGAGCGTGGTTACATGAAGATGTTGAATTTCTTTAAAAGCCCTTTAATCACAGTTTAGCAAAAAAAAAAAAAAAGTAAAACTACATGATTCCGCTTAATTTAAAAATCTTCACATGTGTGATGTTATCATTGGCTTCATCTTTTACTCAAGGTTGGTCCCTTTGGCCATAAATCAGCAAAGACATTATAAGTTGGCCGCAACACACCATTGCCGTGTTCATTTCAAAATGATGGCCTTGCTGAAACTTCCCTGGTGGTCCGCTGGTTAAGACTCTGCCTGGCAACGCAGGGGACGTGGGTTTGATCCCTGGGAATCTAAGATCCCACATGCTTGTGTACTGCTACCAAGATCCGATGCAGCCAAGTGAATTTTTTTTGTTTTTTTAATGATGCCCTTGCTACCAGATTCTCCTGTAGAAATAATGATACTCTCCAAAATCGCGCTCTCAGCTCACAGTTTAGGTATCTGACAACTCAGCTGTATTTGTGTCACACATCAGTGGTCCATGTCCTCTGGATGGAACCTTGGTTCTCTTAAGTTGTGTCAACCAAGCAGAGGTGCGTTGGGGCTTTGACTACACTATTTGTAATTGGAGACTTACTGTTCAGATGACTTCAATAGATTGATGATCTCAGAATCCTTTGACCACCACCCCAGTCCCCAGGTTCTGTGTGACCTCTTTCTGTTTCTATTTAACATTCTTAAACTAGCCAAATATCACATTCCCTCTGTATAACAAATGTGACATGGTGGTGACAGTCCATACAGCGTTTATATGATTAATTGTGACAAGATAATAGACAATTAAAGTCAGTTCAGCCAAAAGGATTTTATTTCATTTTTATGTTCATATGGAGTTTCCTTTTTGTACATAAGAAAATAAATACTGGATTTGTAAAAGAATTTACTCCAAGCTGATGATCAGCTCTAAACCTTTTTCTTATGTGTGGACTTGGTGGGAGGGTAGGAGGGGGACTTGGAGGTGGGGCCGCCAAGGAGCTGGCATTTTGCAAACTCTGAATATTCTGTCGATAATTAGCTGGCAGAAGCACTGTCCCTGGTATTCATTTCAGCTCAGTCCCTGAGCCAGAATGTTTCTTTCACGTTAGTGCTTATAAGGCTGAACAAACACCCTGTATCTTCCAAGTTCACAACGGAGCAGAAAAGGAACCCAGGCGGCCAGGGCACGGGTCTGTACTAGCGCTGCATGCAAACAACGCGTTTCTCCTCTTGGCTCATTACGCTTGAGTGATACAGCCTCATCGTCCAAAACGGCTGAGCCTTTCCTAAAATGCTTGTAACTGATGCTCAGCAGAACATTTGTTGTTCATTCTGCAACGATGGCAAAATAGCAATGCACTTAAAGCTATAGCACCCTCCATTTGCAGTGAAGGGAAACAGTTACACGCCCCCCCGTGGGACTCAGGGCCAGCCTCTTCCTGAAGCCAGCAGAGTGGACCATAAGCCCAGGAGATAACATGCCCCACCCTGCTTTGAAATTTTTCATCAACTTATAAACAGGCCGGTTATGCAGATTGGAAAACCTGGACCACAGCGTCCCCTGGTCCTGAGGGAGGCCAGGCATGGACACTAATCCTGCCATCATGCCACCCACTGCCTCTAATTAAGGGACGCTGTGGGTTCCGGGGGCATCAGAAAGCGTCAGGGATAGAATGCTTGCCGCAGGGCCCCCCAGGGGACCAGACCACCCATGCATCGCACATATGGTTATTCAGGGGACTCAGAGGGAATGAGGATGGGGAGAATGGCCAGACTGAGGCTATTCACTCGAGTCTCAGTGGTGGGTCAACCGCAACAGCCATCAGCGGGGACTGGCCGTCTGTGCCCAGCTCGTGCCAAATAGGATCGGGCATGCAGAAGAGAAACTGGACTCTAAAGCCTCAAGAAAACGCAGTTTCTAGGCCAATTGAATGATACGTTTGTCTCTTTGTAGGAAGTGGCATGTACCACACTCAGGTGGTTTTCAGTATGCTGCCACCAATGGCACTCTTCGTCAAAGTCCTTCAAAGGATCCCCAAGTATTAAGCTGGCAAAGCAAGGCAGCCCTAGTTAAAATTCCTAGGTGAAAGCTCTTGGTGAAGATGAGAACCCCACTCACGTGGCCCCATCTCTCCCTTGTTATGGACTGAATTGAGTCACCCCTCTGCCCACCTCCCCCCCAAAAAAAGGATGTGTTGGAATTCTAGCTCCTGGTCCCTGCAGATGCGATCGTTTGGGAACAGGGTCTTTACAGATTCATAGAGTTAAGTTATAGTGAGGTCACTCCAGAGTAGGGTGGGCCCTTAATGCAATATGACTGGTGTCCTTCTAAGAAGACAAGAGAGAGCTTACTTAAAAAGTAAGGAAATTCTGATCCATGGATGAACCTTGAGGACATTATACTAAGTGAAATAAGCCTGCCACATAAAGACAAATACTGTATGATTCCATTTATCTGAGGTATCAAGAGTAGTAAAATTCATAGAAACAGTAGAATGGTGGTTGCCAGGGGCTGGGGGAAAGGGGACTTGCCTTTCAATGGATAGAGTTTCAGTTTTGCATAATAACGTGAGATTGGTTGCACAACAGTGTGAATGTACATGACACTACTGAACTGCACACCTGAAATGATTAAAATGGTAAATTTTGTTATATCCATTTTCTCAAAATGAAACATTTTTCTCATTTTTAATATACCCTACGCCTAGGAGCTAAACTGAAATAGCGAAACAGTTCCAAAGCCACACTTAAATTATGCTTCCAATATCTGCTTGCTTTCTGTATTTGACCAGTATATCTGGTTTAAATTGAATAGTCTCTTCTTTTCCCCAGTACGGTGTATCACTCATTCAAAATTTAAAATCTTCCTGTACTATGCTGAGTAAATATTCAAGTCCCATTTGAACGTTAGAGGGTTTAAAAAAAAAAAAGCATTGATTATTTATTTGTGTTCTGGCTTTACATGTGGCTATTAACTGTGTAGACAATACCATATATAACTATCAAAATGACTCAATTGGAGATGTCATTAGATAATGACAGATTCAGGACTAGACTGACAGAGTTAGATGATTTAAACACATTTTAAAGGCTTTCTGAAAAACTTGGCCAATAAAATGAAGTTCCCACTAGTTAGGTGGAAATGATTTTTTTAATGATTTTTTTGGTTATCTGCCCAGGAAGCAAAGTATATTCCACAGAATTCTTGGGACACAGTTTGGTAAAATAGCTGCCAGAAATACCAGGGAGAATTGTCATTCATCTCTCATGAGCACAGTCTCCAAAAGCTGTATGAGGGCGTCTCATCATCACCATCCCCTGAATCAGTGTGTTTGCTTGCTGTCAAGGCGCTCATCCTGATTCATGAGGCTACATCAAAGGACTTGAGAGACAAGTCACTCGCCACAGGCACAGGCTGGACCTCCTGGGTCTTCATTGGTCCCAGGAGCATCAGGACAGTTGTCTTGGCGTGTATCAGACTCCAGGCACCGTGTTCTTTATCAGCATCCGCGTTTCACCTTGGAAACAGCATGGAGGGCCCCTACCCTGGGGAACACGGAGCGCATCAGAAAGCTAAGGAACAGAAGGCTGGCGACCCCAGGGGTGGCGCCACAGAGGACTCAGCTCTCTCCTCTGGTTCTGGGGGACACTCAGCAGCGGCCCCCTGCACCACCCCCTGCCCCCCAGGCACGGAGAAGAGAAAGGCCTCCTTCTGCTCCTGTCTGAGCCAAGAGTCAAGAGTCAGGAAGGAGACTGGGCTCTCCTGATGCCTCGGGTGGGACCCACAGACTCACTGAAACACCCCCAGGACTTCATCGGGCTCTTCTCACAAGTTATCTCTTCCTGAGCCCCGTGCAGGGCTCCAAACCATCCTGCTCCAAGAGCCTGGCTTTGCTCCACCAGTTCTCATCCCAGCGAACACTGCGTCTCTGTGTTCTACCAACTCAACTGCAGAGCCAAACTCATGAAAGTGAAAGTGTTCGTCCATCAGTCGTGTCTGACTCTTTGAGACCCCATGGACTGCAGCCCAGTGTCAGGCTCCTCTGCCCATGGGATTCTCCAGGCAAGAACACTGGAGTGGGCTGCCATTCCCTTCTCCAGGGAATCTTTCTGACCCAGGGATTGAACCCGAGTCTCCCACACTGCAGGCAGATTCCTTACCATATGAGCCACCAGGGGCGCCCCAGCGGAGAACTTCAAATCGGGTGTCCTTTCTCAGGAAGCAAAGTATATTCCACAGAATTCTTGGGACACAGTTTGGTAAAATAGCTGCCAGAAATACCAGGGAGAATTGTCATTCATCTCTCATGAGCACAGTCTCCAAAAGCTGTATGAGGGCGTCTCATCATCACCATCCCCTGAATCAGTGTGTTTGCTTGCTGTCAAGGCGCTCATCCTGATTCATGAGGCTACATCAAAGGACCTGAGAGACAAGTCACTCACCACAGGCACAGGCTGGACCTCCTGGGTCTTCATTGGTCCCAGGAGCATCAGGACAGTTGTCTTGGCGTGTATCAGACTCCAGGCACCGTCTTCTTTATCAGCATCCGCGTTTCACCTTGGAAACAGCACGGAGGGCCCCTACCCTGGGGAACACGGAGCGCATCAGAAAGCTAAGGAACAGAAGGCTGGCAACCCCAGGGGTGGCGCCACAGAGGACTCAGCTCTCTCCTCTGGTTCTGGGGGACACTCAGCAGCGGCCCCCTGCACCACCCCCTGCCCCCCAGGCACGGAGAAGAGAAAGGCCTCCTTCTGCTCCTGTCTGAGCCAAGAGTCAAGAGTCAGGAAGGAGACTGGGCTCTCCTGATGCCTCGGGTGGGACCCACAGACTCACTGAAACACCCCCAGGACTTCATCGGGCTCTTCTCACAAGTTATCTCTTCCTGAGCCCCGTGCAGGGCTCCAAACCATCCTGCTCCAAGAGCCTGGCTTTGCTCCACCAGTTCTCATCCCAGCGAACACTGCATCTCTGTGTTCTACCAACTCAACTGCAGAGCCAAACTCATGAAAGTGAAAGTGTTCGTCCATCAGTCATGTCCGACTCTTTGAGACCCCATGGACTGCAGCCCAGTGTCAGGCTCCTCTGCCCATGGGATTCTCCAGGCAAGAACACTGGAGTGGGCTGCCATTCCCTTCTCCAGGGAATCTTTCTGACCCAGGGATTGAACCCGAGTCTCCCACACTGCAGGCAGATTCCTTACCATATGAGCCACCAGGGGCGCCCCAGCGGAGAACTTCAAATCGGGTGTCCTTTCCAATCCACTGACTCCTTTTGCAGGGCAATGAAAAGGGGTCCTTGCTCTGGGCCAGGTCAAGAGATAATTGGGAATTCTGTGAAGCCCTAATGAGCACAGCCTGAAGATCCTGGCTGTGTTCTCACTTCCAAAAGCCACCTCGTGCTGACATGTCACATTGCCAGCCTTGAGTGTCCCAGCCAGGAGCCTCCCAGCCCAGGCAGGGTCCCCATGCCTCTCCACAATTGCCTCACACCCTAGGCGAACTGCTAATTAGACGCCTCGTTTCTTGGCCCGGGTACAGGTTTGAGCCATCTGCTTATTGATCACATCCTTCAGAACATATTGGATTTTAAGGAATTCAGCCACAAAAGCCGGTAATGTTGCAGGTGGCTCATTGAGAAGGTTTCTCCAGGGCAAGCTTGAGAATATACGGTATGTGGTGACCAACAAGCTACAGAAATATTGGCTGCAGAGTTCATAGATTATCATCAGAACAAAGCAATATAAAATGAAGCTCAGAATTTCTACTTGAAGGCCTTTTCCTCTGTTCTTGGTATTGCAGGAAAGAAAAATGTATGATGTGGGCCAACAAATTACACCATTACTGAGACCACTACCCAAGCACTAAAGTAACCATGGACCACTGCTCAGGTAACCTGGCTCCTG